GGATTTTAATTTTATGGTTTGTTCGGGCAATGGCCATAGTATTTGAGGCGCACCGGTAAAAATGTGCAAACGTCCTGCGCCTATCTAATTATAAAAATACCATGTTTTATCAAATTACAATATTTACAGCTTTTTATATAAAAATTAAAGCGCAAATGTCCATTTAAAAAAGGCGCAAAAATGTCCTATCAAAAATGTGCAAACGTCCCGCACCGATTTAGAAACATGAAATGTATGATTTAGATAAAGAATGAAATAAAAATCATTAACTTAAAATCTTTGAAAAGTTGCATTTTTTATTGAAATCTGCGGGGACTAATACAGGAAATGAAAATTTATTCAGTTAAAAAAAAACAGTCATTTACAGGTAAACTTTGCCGGACAATATACGTGTAAATGAACAGTCAATTTAGTTGCATGTCCCTATATTGGTCCCAGCTGGGCTGAACAATCGCAAACGATCTAGATTAGAGAAAACACATAAACGTCATCACAAATAAAGCCACCGAAGCCTTGGGTTTTGTACGTCGAAACCTCCACATCAGCTCAAAATCCTCAAACAAGCATGCTTATAAGATTTCAGTAAGACCACAAATGGAATACTAGTATGCCACGACAGTATGGGACCTGTATCAGCAAAACCACAAAGATAAAATCGAAAAAGTGAAAAGACGATCCGCACGATACGTAACCAGTCGACATAGAAATAGACCCAGTGGCAGCAACATGGTAAACTAACTAGGATGGAAAAGCTTGCAATTAAGACGTAAAGAAGCACGACTTAGCATCGGCTATGTGTCACAAAATAACAAATGGCCTGGTAGCCATAGACAAGAATAAATACTTACAAAAACCAGTCGCTGCATACCTATTACCTGCAACTACAAAAGACTGTAGAAAGTGTTCCTTCTTCGTAAACAACGTCAAGGACTGGAACAAACTACCTCGAGATATTACAACAAAGTCGCTTGAGATATTCAAGTCTCAATTGACCACCATATCTGCAATATCGTTGCTATCCAGTTTTTAACTAGTTTTTAATCATGCGCAATTTGCAAGATTGTTCATCACGTTGAATGTGGACAGTAGTGAGTATATGGAAGAAGAGGAAAGAAGTCGATCAATCCTATCAGAAAAACAAATTAAATTCAAAATAAAATAAATCTTTAAAAAACATATTTCACAGTTCATTTCAATCAATCACGGTTGTTGATAACTGTTGTAAGTGCCAACAAGTATCTCGATAACAGAGCCAACAAGTATCTCTGCTTGTTAATTATAACGGATACATTATAAATATGAAAATAAGGAAATGTTGTATGATTGTAAATGAGACAACTATCCACCAAAGTTCAAATGAAGTGGATGTAAACAATTATATATAGGCAACCGTACCGCCTACAACAATGAGAAAAACACATACCGTATCGGCTATAAAAGGCCCCGACATAAAAAAAATATGAAACAATTCAAATGAGAAAACTAACGGCCTAATCTATGTACAAAACAATTTACAAAAAAAACCCAAATATGACAGATATGAACCAACGACAACCACTGAGCTACAGGCTCCTGACTTTGGACAGGCACATGAAGAATGTGACGGGGTTATAAACATGTTAAACTGTGTTCAACCCTCCCCTAACCTGGGACAGTGGTGTTACAGCACAACACAAGAACAAACTATAAAAGTCAATTGAAAAGGGCTTAACTCATCAGATCTACACAAAACAGAAAAAACATCTAGCAAAAGCACAGAAATGGACGTGACAGGGTATTTATACATCCCTCACAACAAATAAGACACAGAGTAAATATCTGAGAGTACTCGCAGTTACTGACAGCTAGTTCAAAGCCGATAACAACTGATATAAAAATAATGTATCTAAGACTAAACTATCAATCAGTACACATCAAACATCCAATGGATTCAGTGTAAAGACGTCATTAACAGTCAGAGAAAAATAGGACCTTGTGCAATGCAATAATATAGGTATCGACAGATTGTAGTACCGTGAAAGTGCATAAGTGTATAACAATAATATCGAGTATGATTTATAATTTACTGATAACAAAATCAATATTTATACCAATAAAAACAAAATTCAAAGAGCTTATTACAATGTTGAATTGGTAACCTTTTAGAATAAGTTTATTTAAAGGATTGATAAGTTTACCCGGTGTTCATTATCTTAGCACAGATCAGCGCTTGTGTTTGTACGTTTCGCCTCTTATTCACTCTAATTTATATTTTCAAATGGATTAATAGAACTACCGGACAATGATAATGAAATTTCAATGGTATTTAAAATGTGACGTTTCATTTGTTTTATATGTAGCGTGTTTTGCGCAGTTTCAGTTACTCTCCGGAAGTACATCAGAACAGTATAGAGAACGTCACAGTTACCATACACCACTGGCAACGTCTTTAACGTCATTGTAAAGGATCGACACAGATTGCCATACGGATCGTTGTATATTTGATAAAGAACCTACAACAGTTTAACAAATTATTACTGGCCTCTTAATTGCGTACAGGACAGATAATTGTAAAGAAGGTAGGTTACTCAACTTAACATGCATGATTTTCAGCAGGATTTTTTTTTGTGCTTATGCAGAACGATGCAACTAGAAGCAACATGTACCTCGTGTTTACCCAAAACCAAAGTTTAAGTAAAAGTCAAAATAGTGCTCTAATATACAAACTTTCCATCTGTATAGAATCGAACAAATACAGTAGCATTACATACATTACCAATTCAATGAAAATTCCTGTATTGTCTTAATAATTTCTGTAACAATACCTTATTTAAGTTTAGGACGATTTCAACTGACACGGGTGCTATCTTCAAGTAAAGAAATTTGTAATGTAACTGCTTAAAAAAAACGGTACAAGACGACTAGATACATTAGCTGAACTTGTTAACCCTACCATAAATTGACTACCAAAATCGTTTCTTTTCATAAAATAGACAGACAAAAGAGAAATATAGATTTTTAATAGTAATCAATATAGATTTTGTTTTATGCAGAACTGAACACAAAGATCGTAAGCAAATTTGAACGAAATAAAATTACCTCAGATATTTTTTTTTATTTTCGTAATACAATTCGAGAAAATTATGCCAGGATTAATATTTTTGAAGAAACTTGGGTCTTATTTTTTTAGATGGCTGACTTTCATAATGTAAATGAGATTTTAGAATCCGAAAAGAAAAAGCTTATTTCACAGCTTAAAAGGGACTCAAAAACAAAAGACGAAATGGAATTTTGGACGAAGACCGAAAAAATTCAAGAAGACTCGTACAGACGAAAATACGAAGATTTGTATAGAAGAACAGGTTTGTAATTTAAAATAAACAGGTTTGATCGAAAGAGTAAAAAACAGTATTATTCCAGTTAATTATAATAGGCGGTTGCTCTTAGCATTGTGAAATTTGTTTTAAAGATTAACTCTGACACTGCTTGTCATGGATAAGAATACTGAATCCAAAACTATCCTGAATTTTGTGAATCTATATGAAAATATGTCCAAACTGACGCAATTTTAGCAATTTTCAAAAACTTGACATGTACTCGTAGCAAAGCCGACTTTTTTTAGTTTTTGTGTATGGATCTAAATACTGGTATGCTCATTGACGTGTAATTCTTTTTTATACATATACTGATTACGCATCAACGTTTTAGCCACAACCTGGACATGATCAGATTTTCATACACTTAATTCATGAAGTTACTGTAACTAAGTAACTAATAGACGTGTATTGAATAATGTAATTGTTTGTTGTTTTTTTGTGTGTGTGTTTGGTTTTTTTTTTTTGGGGGGGGGAGGGGTTGAGTAATGGAAGATATGAACTGTCTGTTTTATTATAGAGGCTGCAACCAGGAAGTTATTTGACGAATTCAAAAAAGAGGCAAAAACAGTTCCAGAGTTCAATTTTTGGAACGATATTGAAAAGATGAGAGGAGCATACCACTACCCAGAGGAAGAAGGCTTTGCCTGTGAAGATATAGGTTTGTGTTGATAGTGATATATATATATATATGAAATTGAATAAGGGTTGCACTACAATTAAAAAAGAGATCGATAGATAATGATCAGAAACACTAAAACGCAGTTGAAACATAACTCATGTAATCAGGATCATTGCTCAAGCTCAAAACCTTTGCTAGAAGTTACGGAACTCTTGTTAAACAGATTTGTTAACTTCATGTTTTCCTTTGGCCATTATTTTTTTTATTTAGCAAACAGATTTTACTTAACAATTAAAACAAGGCACTCGGATTACTGCTTATATTTCATGTGAATGAGACAAACAATATGCAAATAAACATAATTTCTTTTCAACAATAATTATTATTTTTCACATTTCAAGAAGAAGTCAAGGAAGATAAAACCGGAAACGAACAAGATGACGCCGGCAATGAACTATTGGATGAATCCAGTTATAACCAAAATAAAACAGGTATTGAACCAGATGGAAACGGGAGTGAAAGTGACGAGAATTCACAGATACAGATCAAAGAAGCCCTGACAGAGACGAATGAGCAAGACTTTACACAGAATGCTGTTGGTAAGCTTTAAATTGCAGTAATCTCTGACCGCAGTGTCATCATTCAAAAATTACGCAACATGTTTTAATTTCATGCCAAAACAGTTACTTTTAACTACCATCGCAAATGTGGATAGGGTCACAGTTTTCGCCGTATCACAGTCACTCAATGCAGGCATCAAATTTCGTATGCGAACAACCATTGACAGCAAAGGCTATCAGTGTCAACATTTTTTGTGCCTATACAAGTTATTAACTTAAATATTGTTTCTTTCGCCAATAATACAAGGTCACTTGATGATTTCATTTTCAAAACAAAATATCAAGATACCTTAATTAATACACGTGTTTCCATTTATAGTTAAGTTTTAGAAGATCAGTATATGTTAATATGGCCTTTTTATTAATGTATATAATTTTCGACTTTTCAGCTTCCATAGAGTCTAGCGACAATCCACCTTGGATAGCAAGTGAAACTCTCATATACTTGCCTGAAGTTAAACCTGACGAAACGTCAGTGATCCGATTTATTTACACCACTCGTAAGTTTTACAGTAGACCTGCTGAATACGAGCACTAGTATACCAGTATTTCTATTATTTTAAGGTATCGTTTGATGTTAAACAAATCCTGTTTGTTTGATTTACAAAACTGTAGCGTCACACTATTTCAAAATGAGTAATTTTTTACGACCAAACCGACTTCATAAATGACAGCAAGTTAACTATTAACATAAATATTTTAAAAAACTCAGTAGTTTTTTTTTAAATAAGCAGAACAAATAGAAATTTAAACAGGAACCAGTTGAAAGGATAATTTTATTCTATGTTATGGTTATGTCATGATACCTTTTCTGGTAAACTTTTCTAATGTTGATTTTCATTCATTTGGGGCAATTAGATTATTATTAAAAAAGATGCTTTACGATCTTGTCTCCTTAAAATCCCGTCCAAACGTCATTGTATTCTTCCAAAATTTCCCTTTTTAATACTTTTTACCGTTTAAGGCGACTGATATCACTAGTTAAAGATCTTTCCAGTAAATAAGACAGCAAACTGACCTTAAATTTCAAACAAGACAGACGACAAGCAGTAGTGTTTTATCTGATTTAAAAAAAAATGTGAATAATTATTTTCCTACAACGTGTTTTCCAGGCTTGTTTTTTGCGGTCTTTGTGATGTCATTTTTGATTCATGGTTATTCAACGTTTGATAAAAATAAAAATTTAAAATCCGCACACGGCGCATCAAATTAATTACGGTAAATATCATGTTTTCACTGTTGTTACATGTATCGAGTGCCAAAGTTTTGAAAGTTGAGTGATACAGGTTCCCAAGAGCCTTTTGTTTCTAATTCTTAAATTTTATCGTGCAGAAAAAAAATAGTATTATTGACCGTTAATTGTTTGCAGGTCCTTCCTCCATTGCACACATTCACCAGACGGAAGAACCAACATGGATCGATATATCTCTAAAGGTAAAGTATTGACAATAGACATGCACATTGCAAAAAGTATTAACAAAAGTACCAAAATCTAAGGTTAATTAAAAAAGTGGGGAAGTTTATAAAACCTGACAGAACCAAACACTCGACTTCATTAACCAAAGGAAAGAATGAAAAACGACTGTCACATTCCTGACTTGGGTTAAACATGGTTTTATAACTAGCTAAACCCTCGACTTGTGTGACAGTTTTTTATAGTTCCGTTATATTAACAAAATTGGTTGAGCTACCCAAACAGACCTACTTGGTTAACGTGACAATATTTGGGATCCAGCAGCTAAGACTCTGTAAACATACATTACAGACATACAAACATAATTGACTTAAAAATTCATACAAATCTACAATTAAATCTGACAAAGACACCAACAAAAGAACTATGTAGTTGATATTACATACAGTATAGTAAAAAATGTAATTATAAGTATTGCATGCTTCTTTTAGTAATTTTATAGGGTTGTAAAAGCGTTGACCGTGCGCACATTTTTAGAATGAAGCTTCGGTCAAAATGTACTTCGGTCAACGCTTTTACACCCCAATACATTTACAAAAAGAAGCATTCAATTCTTAGATAAAAAGAAGTAGATGGGTGGTATGATTGCAAATGAGACAACAATCCCCCTAAGACAAAAGAACGAGGATGTAAACAATTGCTGGTCTAAGGCCTTCAACAATGAGCACTCTTCATCGTAACAAATTATTATATTCTTCTTAGATACAATTCTACGATGTTAACTATCACAGTTGACATAATTACAATGTATATCACATTGCCTCTAGGAAATTATGATATAATATCCTTAAAACGAAGAAAGAAGTTGGTTTAGAACTAAAATTGACACCAAATAAATACAGCAAGCAAGCAAATATGCAAGAGTTAAACGCTTCATTTAATTCAGAAAAGTGTTTCGGACGCACGACTTTTATAAAGTGTTGTTTTAAGTTTTTATATCACTGGGTCGATACCTCGGCTGGTAGACTATCAATCCCATGCAGCGGTAATTATCAGCTTAGTAGTCAGTTCTTAGGTTCTATCATGATTTATAACAAAGAGCTTCAGACGCATGGAATTTATAAAGTGTTGTTTTTAATTTTTTATAGCACTGGGTCGATACCTCGGCTGGTAGACTATCAATCCCCGCGGTAATTATCAGCTTAGTAGTCAGTACTTCGGTACTGACAGGATTTATAACAAAGAGCTTCAGACGCATGGAATTTATAAAGTGTTGTTTTTAATTTTTTATAGCACTGGGTCGATACCTCGGCTGGTAGACTATCAATCCCCGCGGTAATTATCAGCTTAGTAGTCAGTACTTCGGTACTGACAGGATTTATAACAAAGAGCTTCAGACGCATGGAATTTATAAAGTGTTGTTTTTAATTTTTTATAGCACTGGGTCGATACCTCGGCTGGTAGACTATCAATCCCCGCGGTTATTATCAGCTTAGTAGTCAATACTTCGGTACTGACATGATTTATAACAAAGAGCTTCAGACGCATGGAATTTATAAAAGTGTTGTTTTAATTTTTTATAGCACTAGGTCGATACCTCGGCTGGTAGACTATCAATCCCCGCGGTAATGACCAGCTTAGTAGTCAGTTCTTAGGTTCTGACAGGATTTATAACAAACCTTTCTTAAATTGTCCGTTTATAAATTTAGAAATGTCTAAGAAGCTAAGGTTTCAACTCCCTCAGGCAAAGTTGATCTTTAGATGGATTTGGCTATTATTTTAGGTCTTTTTTGGTCATATTCTCTTCACCCGTTTCGGTTCTTATACATCCTTGCCTTTCAAATATTCGGCTTTGAGAGTTTCTGATGAAGTTAAACCCAGAAAAGTGCTTCAGACGCATATAATTTGTAAAGCGTTGTTTTCATTTGTTAATGAAAACCAGTGAAATTTGCCCTTTTTTATACACAGTTTAACAATAAAATGGCTGGTCTCCTTTTCCCTCAAGAAACATATTTGTCCAAAGGGTATGACTATTATTATTGTTTTAATAGATACATGTATCTATCTATACATTTATTTTAATTCAACGGGTGGAAATTCAATACAAATTTGAGAAAAAAAATTCATGCTATAATGCATGAGAAAAATAGGCTAGATAACAATCATCCGTCACTTAGATTTTTCTTATTATAAATGCGAGTTTTTAAATTTCCGACAGAAAGACATTGAACTGGATATTCCTGACAAAATCGAGAAGAAAATTATGAAAAAGGAGGAAAAGAAGAAGGGAACAAGAAAAAATAACTTATTTAAAGATGCCAAAAAAAGGGAGACAGACGGAGGATAACAAAACTAAAAAGAAACAAACAACAGGTATAATAAAAATATGAATTAATGTTATGAATAATATATATGTGAAATAGTTTATGTATACGCTTGTTCATTTTTTAATATGAAAGTGAGAGAGAGGCGAAGGATACCAAAGGGACATTCAAACTCATAAATCGAAAATAAACTGACAACGCCATGGCTAAAAAAGAAAAAGACTAATAGACAAACAACAGTACACAAAACACAACATAGAAAACCAAAGACTGAGCAACACGAACCCCACCAAAAACTTCGGGTGATCTCAGGTACTCTGGAAGGGTAAGTAGATTCTGCTCCAAATGTGACACCCGTCGTGTTGCTCATGTTAGTACAAACCCGGTGATAAGTCACCATCCAGTGAGGAGATGGGGCTTGATTGTCAATGAGACAACTATCTATTGAAGACCAAAGGACGAAGATGTGAACAATTACAGGTCACAATTTGGCCTTCAACACTGTGCAAAAGCCCACACCCTAAGTAAGCTATAAAAGGTCCTGGAATGATTTATAAAAGAAACCAGATAGCTTGATTTATACTACAAACATAAACGAAAAATAATTATGGCAGACAGCAACAAAAAAAAAGGGATGTGGTCGGGTTAAACATGTTTTTGTGATTGCTCAACCCTCCCTTAACGTGGGACAGTGGTGTAACAAGAAAAAGGAAAGTCCGACTGGTATTAAGCAGAAAAAAACAATAGCAAAAAGTTTAAAGCCCAATTTCAACTTATAAATAAACCATGTTCTTCCAGATTAATGGTCGTTTAATGCTTGTGTTGTTGGGTTGCTGTCTTCATTGACGCTTACTCCACATCCCTTTCATTTATACATATGTCACGGTAATCGATAATCAGCATGACCCAAGGTAATCTGACATGGAACATACATAATCATAAATATGAATTAACGATGTATGCGGGGTACATACATTGTAGCAAGGAGTCATTTATTCATTCATTCATAAGCCTGTACCATACGATGCTGATATTAAACATTTCTAAATGTCTTAAACGAGACGGTTCAAGCATATTTGCTGACAAATGGTTTCATTGGTGCTTGCTCAGCCAATAAGGGACACTATTACGGTTGAATAAACTGCGAAAGAACAAAGCATAATAATGAATCAATTCTTATAGCTTCATAAAAAGTATTTCACTCGGAGAAAGGCTTAGTAGGAGTAAATGCCGAGTAGAGTCAGAAAGTTTACTAAAATGGAGTACTACCAACTGAATCTTTTTTTAAAAAGACAATGCACCATGAATTAACATTTTATTTCTCACTCACTAAATCCATCCCATTTTTTCAAGCATCTTGTTTTTGATGTACATACAATCCTATCATGTTTTCGTTATTGTAAATTTTTTTGTGCTTATATTTGTATTGGGAGATGACGTCTCGATGTCTTTATAATTTGTGTCAATCGATTTTGATATTTTTGCAATAATGATGTTTAGATTGAATGACAAACACAAGTGTCTATGTAGTACAGAGTGGACATGAATTTCACGTTAAAATCAGATAGATATATAATAAAGAATACAGTTGTTTTGGCATAAACAGTTTTTATAGTGCATTGTGTTTATTTTCAGATAAACTGCAAAAGGTGAAGAAATCAACGTTCAGAGATTTCATCAAACCACTTTTGTCTTGTTTCCTCATCCATAAAAAAGTAGAAGATTAGACAAGTTATTTATTTACAGATGTCGTCTACATTCTGTTATCATATATCTGACTCTATTTTTAAATAAAATAATAACGTACAAAAATATAAATGAGTTGTAATCCTTTATTTTATATGAGGAGGAATTTTTCTTTGGTAAAATTGTTTGGTGGTGTAGTATGCAGAGTAGAAATATAATAACTGTCACCTGAAACAAACTGACTAGTAGCTTATCAAAGACTTTCGAAGAAATTTTCTCAATCATTATAATAGTTATTACGGCTATTAGCATCAGCTTTGTCTCAATATTTCATAATTCAAATTGATATAATGCACCTTTTTCATTGAATAGTTTGTACATATAACTTTGCACTGCATGAATTGTTATTACCCCGCAGTCTTGTAACTACTAACTAGGTCTGTTGGGAACTTAGCCCTCGACGGGACGGAGTGAAACCCGTACGTACAATGAGGCGACAGATTTAAATCTTAACTGTAGCTAGTCCTATTTCTTTCCTAGTAATGTTGTACGATAAAAGGGGGATGTTAGATATATAACAAGAATCTTCAGTATATTAGCCCATTTATATTTTCTTAAACGTGCGTGTGTCCCACGTCAGGTACGTTGTCGTTAACGGTCGTATTTCATATCGTAATATTACCCCACCCCCTTTATTTAGAAAACTGAGTGTTAATAGCAGATCTAACATTGTTTCTGTTGAATTTATATATATCTTTCATGGAATCGAGATAGTTAAGAGCGAGACATATTGACAAAGTGTAATCACCTGTCTATTTATCGTAGACTTAATGTCTGCATCAAGATGTTTTTTTTTTATTTCTATCGTTGGGCTGCTGTTCCATTGACGTATAACCCATATCTGATTCTCCTTCTATTTCACACTTAATTTTAGGTGTATACTGCTGGCTGAAAAAAAAAAATCTTATAGCACCTGTTAGGACACCTGTCTAATGTTGAAGATTACACGTCGACCTCTAGATGTCTTTTGGTTATTTCTGTAGATGGGTTGCTGTCTCATTGACGTTTACCTCACATCTCCTTTTATTCATGCAGCACTTAATTGTGCACTGATGGCTGACAAAAATTATCATATATAAATCTGATAGGCTAAGCACTGCCCGTTTTTCTTTGTATCAAGTATAGTGGATTGATCTGATTATTTTCTGCTTAACGTCCAGTGGCAAATATTCCGTCAATATCAAAGCTATTGTGTCAGAAATTCAAGTCTAGTCTACTTAAACATTTGCTTTTTTTGTATTTTTCTGAGTGAAGAAAGACAGAATTCTATAGAAACGCAGACATGCACTTGCTTCAAATGTGTTTTCTGGAATAAAACTACTATGCAATTTGAAGCATTTATAGCTATTTCGTCTTAAGTTGGAATAAAGCGGCAGTTATTTCATAGCAAATTTTTCTTGTCTCGACTTGACTGTGCTGAAAAACTCAACATATTGCATAAAAGAGCGCACTGGTTTCCGAAAGTTGGATAGTATAAAAACAGGTACTTCCGATCTGAGCAACAGGGCAAACATGTCTCCCATCATAATTTCATATATTTATTTTATTATTCACGAGAAACCTCCATCAAAGATTCTACAGTGATCCCAAGACGATGAGCCTTTCATTTGATATCAATTAATAAACAATTTTTTTTTTTACTTCTGGACAAAACTACAGCTTCGAGTAGGAACTATTTTGTTTAACATATGTACTACTTTCTTGTATGTTCTATGTGACCGGGTCCGAATAATATACTTTCTTGGTGTCAAGCGAAAAACAAAGGAATTAACGCACACACAATTTTGGGAAATTAGCGCAGCTCTACGTAAGTCTTACTAATTTTCTGAAGACAAATACAAATAAGCAAAAACTAAACGATGAGGAAAATGACCAAACAGAAAAAAAAATCTTGATTATTTCTTTTTTCATACCAACAATAGTCAGACTCTTTTTGAAACTCCACCCCTTGCACGTGAAAAGTGGTGTATATTTTAACTGAGAATCTTATTAAATAAAAAAAAAACAGCGAATTTCATACCGTTCAGTTTTGTGTTGTTGGCTAGCTGTTTTATTGATGTATACCTTGCATCTCCTTTTATTCATATGAATGTTTTATGTGTCAAAAAGTTATTGCCTATTTATTAAACATTGAAAGTATTTCGCATTTTATAGCTGATGTTTATCATTTGAAAAATCTGTTTCAAGGCATCCCCCTTTTCTTAAAAAAAAATAATACCAAAACAATGCAAAAGGCAAAAGTAAAACAAAAAAATCGTTTTCCAGACATAATACGTAACAAAACAGCTTCGTCTTTCAGAGGTAAGCATACGATGTACTGGGTTTGAAACCCTTATATAGTACACAATTTGCCAAATTTCCTCAGAGAAGGTATTGGCAAAAATATGGATAGTTATATACGTATTATATACGTTTGTAGGTTTTTGCCATTTTTCGTCTTTTTTGAATTTGTGATCTGCACAGATTAAAATTTGATATTCCCAAAAAATTTTAAACAACGAATTAATCATAAAATGAGTCTTTATCATGGCTTTTTCGCGATAACAAACATAAATTTTGCAAAACTTTGATATATTGCACCTTTTTCATTGAATAATTTGTACATATAACTTTGCACTGCATGAATTGTTATTAACCCGCAGTCTTGTAACTACTAACTAGGTCTGTTGGGAACTTAGCCCTCGACGGGACGGAGTGAAACCCGTACGTATAATGAGGCGACAGATTTAAATCTTAACTGTAGCTAGTCCTATTTCTTTCCTAGTAATGTTGTACGATAAAAGGGGGATGTTAGATATATAACAAGAATCTTCAGTATATTAGCCCATTTATATTTTCTTAAACGTGCGTGTGTCTCACGTCAGGTACGTTGTCGTTAACGGTCGTATTTCATATCGTAATATTACCCCACCCCCTTTATTTAGAAAACTGAGTGTTAATAGCAGATCTAACATTGTTTCTGTTGAATTTATATATATCTTTCATGGAATCGAGATAGTTAAGAGCGAGACATATTGACAAAGTGTAATCACCTGTCTATTTATCGTAGACTTAATGTCTGCATCAAGATGTTTTTTTTTTATTTCTATCGTTGGGCTGCTGTTCCATTGACGTATAACCCATATCTGATTCTCCTTCTATTTCACACTTAATTTTAGGTGTATACTGCTGGCTGAAAAAAAAAAAATCTTATAGCACCTGTTAGGACACCTGTCTAATGTTGAAGATTACACGTCGACCTCTAGATGTCTTTTGGTTATTTCTGTAGATGGGTTGCTGTCTCATTGACGTTTACCTCACATCTCCTTTTATTCATGCAGCACTTAATTGTGCACTGATGGCTGACAAAAATTATCATATATAAATCTGATAGGCTAAGCACTGCCCGTTTTTCTTTGTATCAAGTATAGTGGATTGATCTGATTATTTTCTGCTTAACGTCCAGTGGCAAATATTCCGTCAATATCAAAGCTATTGTGTCAGAAATTCAAGTCTAGTCTACTTAAACATTTGCTTTTTTTGTATTTTTCTGAGTGAAGAAAGACAGAATTCTATAGAAACGCAGACATGCACTTGCTTCAAATGTGTTTTCTGGAATAAAACTACTATGCAATTTGAAGCATTTATAGCTATTTCGTCTTAAGTTGGAATAAAGCGGCAGTTATTTCATAGCAAATTTTTCTTGTCTCGACTTGACTGTGCTGAAAAACTCAACATATTGCATAAAAGAGCGCACTGGTTTCCGAAAGTTGGATAGTATAAAAACAGGTACTTCCGATCTGAGCAACAGGGCAAACATGTCTCCCATCATAATTTCATATATTTATTTTATTATTCACGAGAAACCTCCATCAAAGATTCTACAGTGATCCCAAGACGATGAGCCTTTCATTTGATATCAATTAATAAACAATTTTTTTTTTTACTTCTGGACAAAACTACAGCTTCGAGTAGGAACTATTTTGTTTAACATATGTACTACTTTCTTGTATGTTCTATGTGACCGGGTCCGAATAATATACTTTCTTGGTGTCAAGCGAAAAACAAAGGAATTAACGCACACACAATTTTGGGAAATTAGCGCAGCTCTACGTAAGTCTTACTAATTTTCTGAAGACAAATACAAATAAGCAAAAACTAAACGATGAGGAAAATGACCAAACAGAAAAAAAAATCTTGATTATTTCTTTTTTCATACCAACAATAGTCAGACTCTTTTTGAAACTCCACCCCTTGCACGTGAAAAGTGGTGTATATTTTAACTGAGAATCTTATTAAATAAAAAAAAAACAGCGAATTTCATACCGTTCAGTTTTGTGTTGTTGGCTAGCTGTTTTATTGATGTATACCTTGCATCTCCTTTTATTCATATGAATGTTTTATGTGTCAAAAAGTTATTGCCTATTTATTAAACATTGAAAGTATTTCGCATTTTATAGCTGATGTTTATCATTTGAAAAATCTGTTTCAAGGCATCCCCCTTTTCTTAAAAAAAAATAATACCAAAACAATGCAAAAGGCAAAAGTAAAACAAAAAAATCGTTTTCCAGACATAATACGTAACAAAACAGCTTCGTCTTTCAGAGGTAAGCATACGATGTACTGGGTTTGAAACCCTTATATAGTACACAATTTGCCAAATTTCCTCAGAGAAGGTATTGGCAAAAATATGGATAGTTATATACGTATTATATACGTTTGTAGGTTTTTGCCATTTTTCGTCTTTTTTGAATTTGTGATCTGCACAGATTAAAATTTGATATTCCCAAAAAATTTTAAACAACGAATTAATCATAAAATGAGTCTTTATCATGGCTTTTTCGCGATAACAAACATAAATTTTGCAAAACTTTGATATATTGCACCTTTTTCATTGAATAATTTGTACATATAACTTTGCACTGCATGAATTGTTATTAACCCGCAGTCTTGTAACTACTAACTAGGTCTGTTGGGAACTTAGCCCTCGACGGGACGGAGTGAAACCCGTACGTATAATGAGGCGACAGATTTAAATCTTAACTG